CTAAACCCCGCTATTCCCAAGAGAATCCACTTCCCCACAGTGTGTGGTGGCTGTCAACTGTCCACGTCCATCCTTCAGGCCCTCCTGTCCTAATGGCAGCCCGTCTGCAGCTGATGGACTCAAGCACACTTTTCTTCCTCGGCCTACCAACCAAACCAGGGGTGCCACCACTTCCCTGGGGAATGATACATCCCAAGGCAGTGGCCCCACCTGCTGCTTAGCTCCTGAGAACACAGGACAAGCAACCACCTGCATCTGTGCTCACCGGCCCCCTGCCCAGGACTGGCTTCCCAAGGCAAAGGTTTGCCTGAGCTCTGGGAGCCAAGGGCACCATGGTGGACAGCAGCCTCTGGGAAACTCTGACTGTGACCTGGGCCAGCGTCCACCTTCTCAGAGCCTCTGTTCCTCACCTGTACGCTAGAGCCCCAGCAACCATGAGGGAACATGGCCACCAGGGCTGTGCAGTGGGTGCTCCCTAACGCACAGCTCATTGCCCTCCCTCCTCTCAGCGCAAAGTGCCCTGCACACGTCTCTGCCACTGCCCTGCTCCCCCCACCACAGGGTACATGGGACCCAAGGGAGACACTCCTTAGGGTTTGGTACTCACTCTGGTTCCACCACCACCACCCCCATGAGTCCCAGGCAGGGGCGATTTGGGGTCTTCTCTGTGTTGCCTCCTCTCTTTGTCCCAGTTGCCCTTCCCCCGATTCCAAATGGACCCTCACAGCAGGAACACGCCACATTTGTGCCCACGGTGATGCCTGTAGGCCAGCCAGGGATCCAGGCACATCCGGCGTGGGTGCAGAGTCTCCACCTGCTGCAGCCTCTCCACGTCCTCTGGCAGCATCACAGACACCCTTGGTGTCCCTCCTATGTCATACCTGTGGGACAAAGCACAACGTCCTGCCGGGCAGGGCCACGTCCTCCCCTGGGTCCAGCTCTGTAAAGCCAGTCCAGATTGGCTTTATCCGACCTCCCCCTTCTGGACTAGTGATTTCACAGCAGGAAGTCCCCCCTGCTGTCTACCCGAAACCTCGCCAACCCCAGTGCCTCCGAGTTCTGTCCTCAGGCACGAGCCCTGGTTTGCTGTCTCCTCATGAGGAGCTGTGATGTCCTCTGCTGAAGACAAGGACCCATCACCCACTGGGCTCCCTCCCGGTCTCCCCCAGGATGCAGAGCACAGGGAGGATTCTGGGTGTCCTCGCTTAGGGGCAGGGAGGGCTTTACCTGAAAATTGGCCCCAGCTCCTGGAAGTTCTGCTGCATGTCCAGGTGGAGGTTCTCATAGCCCTGGTCCTTCCAGATCTGCAGTGTCTTCATCCAGGTGTTGGAGCGACTCTGGGGTATGGCTTCGAAGGGCAGCACTGCCTTGGGGGCCAGAGCGGCTCTGGTGCCCAGTGTCCGTGGCCCTCTCAGGGACAGGCAGGGCCCCGCCAGCCACGCACCTGCCTTTCTCCTGAATGCCATCCCAATGCTCCCTCTATTCCGTGCCCAAATCCTTTTATTTGTCATGGGACCTGCACTGGTAGATGAATCACGTCATGGGAGAAACCGTCCCCGGACCTGCCTGTACACCCAGGGCTGAGGTCAGGGCTGAAGCAAGGTCTGCCCTGGGGTGCAAGGGGGTGGAGGTTGGGGGAGCAGCCTCTCCCTCCTCCAGGGCAGAGCAGTGGATGATGAATGTGCCCCTTATCTTTCCTGGGACCTTGGATTATTCATCTACCTCTTGCAACATGCAGTGCAGAGGAAAGGGGAGAAGAATGGGGTTCACTAGAGTAACCCACTCCTGCCTGTCCCTGCCCTCCCAGGCCTTGTGCTGGTGCCTGCAGTGGAGAGCTGACCGGGCTCCATCATCATGTCAGCCTCAGCCCTGGGGGCAATGCAGTGAGTGCAGGGGCACAACGTGTAGGGGGGATTCACTGTGTGTTTCAGGGCTTCACTGTGTGTCCCGACCCGACCCAGTCTTGCCTGGCCTTGCTGGTGCAGCTAATGGAGACATCGGTCCTTCAGGGGTTGGGGGTGCTAGAAGCCACCCTTGGGCTGAAAGTTGAGGCTGTAGCTTGCCTAGACCCGTCCTTGCCTATGAAGTGGCCTGTGGCAGCTGTTCCGGACCTGGCTCCCCCATGGCACATTGCCCTGGTTTAGATTCAGAGCTCAGGCAACAGGAGATGGTAACATCCGAGCTGCGGCACCATCAGGGCCCCGCTGTCCAGTCAGCTCTCTGCAGCAGGCACTCGGCCAGGGCTGTCCTTCAGAGGGTGGGTCCGTGGTGTGGTTCTCGTGTTGTCCCACTGAAGCCTGCAGCAGTCCCGGGAAGTAGGCACTGCTGCCACTGTCCCAGATGTTCTGTCACCTGCCTCATGTCCCAGGGAGGGAGCCCGGGGCCCTTGCCCTCAGCTCTGTTCAGCTGTGCCTTTGAAGCCGGGCCCCCTGTTCCCAGCCTGAGGCTGGGCAGCCCAGCTCCAGGAGGCTGCCCCCCCTGCTGTCTCCCAGCACCTTCCAGGGGGCTGTGGCCTCTCCTGTTTCAGATCCCAGTAAGAAGTGAATTCTGTTCTGCTGGGGGTCTGCCTCAGCTCTGCTTGCCACTGACTTCTACTCTTGAGGTTCCAGCATGAAAGAGACACCCATGAGTCAATCAGGGCCTGCGGGGGGCGGGGGCTCTCAGCCTGGACCCGGCACGGGGAGCATGTTGGGCCCTGCCCTCCCTGGCCCATGCTGCCCACCAGGGCCCTGCCTCTGCCTGTCCACTGGGGAGACAGTCTGGCCCCACGTGGCATTGCCCTACAGTCTCCCCTTCGAAAGATACCCCACATCCACTTGGGGCAGGCACCTGGCCAGGAGGGGATACCAGGGTTGCTGATGTCCTGGGGGACGTTAGTGCTGGTGGGGCTCTCCACCAAAATGCTCATCAAAGGTAAGTGGGGCAGACTGAGGGGGTGAGTGTGGGCGGGAGAGTCACATGCCACACGGGCCCCAGATTTGTGGAGCACAGCTGCTCAGAGGACCACAGTGTCTGTGGGATCCAAGCGTCTCACCCATTAATTATCCCATGAGCACAAGTTAGGGTAGTTTGAGCGTGTGTGTCATGAGACTAGAGAAAGTACAAGGCGCTACCCGGAGAGGTCCAGCGGGGGGCAGGTGCCACCAGGGCTGAGGCAGCATTGGGAGGTGCTGACCCTTCATCACTGGTGGCTGTGGTCTGGGTCTCTGTAGGGAGGAGGACTGGTTGGGCGGCCTGGGGTGCAGCCGACTGGCTTCACTATGGACTCACGCCGACAAGGACGGCAGAGGTGTGGGTTTCCCCTAACCCTAATCATGTTG